TTATTATTTGCTCGCGTTTTCCATAAAATCAAGATTTATTTAGTTTGAAAATATAAGTCATGTTATGTGAAGCATTTTGCACGGTATGTATAGGATGTGAAAATGTTCTCAAATAAAACACAGTAAGACATGGTAAATTAATGATTAAGCGGTTTCTCTATGTGGTGCCTATACAAAACCTATACCGGCAATTTTAAGGGAAGTTTCTTACCATATGGGGAATACCGAATTAAATTAAATGGATATTTTGTTACTACTTTCCAAGTACTTAAAATCGGACAAGAATGCTTAAAAACGCACAATAATCGAACAAATTTTTTTGAACTTATAAAAACAACATATATCCCATGTGGGCCACTGACCGAAACTTGAAACAACAGCAGGAATATTTTTGAGAAAAATTGGCAATACATAGATATATGTTTTTTATGTTTCAGTAAAGTCGAAAACGTCTATCAATATAGTTCAGTGATGTTAGTATTTCGCTATATACAATTACAAAGACGTCAACAAAACACGAAGGTATTATTGAACATTTTCTTATATTGGGGAAGAATACATTTAAATTCGAATCCTACATGGAGGCAATTCCGCATTACATGTTGTTTGTGTCTAACTTATATTTGCCTTTATGGTTCCTCAAATGAATTTTTATACATGTAAAAAATGTTTGATGACTGCACCGATTACACTCACGTTTTCCTTCGGCTGTTTGTAATTGCATTGGGAAGATTTTTACGAAAAACTATTGAGAAAACCAGTAAGGAAAGCAGTAAAGTCGGACGGGGCCGACTTTACCACTATGGGTATATTAAACAGGACTATTAACATGAAATTGGATGAAATAAAATATGTGATATTTATCTACATGTAAATCTACCTAGATCTATCCATAAAGTATGTAAATCGACTTCAAACAAATAAAAATAGGTCATCCGTTGGGCTATGTCTGTACTTCTACAAAACCCAACTACGTAATTCTATGCTCAAGTTTGTAAGTTGTGCAAAATTTGATGTCGATCTGACTAACATGAGGAATTTGATGCCCAATTTACTTGAAATCGGGCGAAAATATATATGGAAGCTCTATCCAAATATTAAGCGATTTCAAACAAACTCGTCACAGGTTAGGTTATACTAATTTCAGAACGTTTTGTTCCTATTGGTTCCTTGGTGCGTCAATCACTTAAAATCAATCTAAATTAAAAGGGAGCTATATCTAAATCTGAACCCATTCTCACGAAACAAGGCAGATATCACTCTAGGCTCAATTCAGTACGTTATGCCAAATTTCGTGCAAATCGAAGGATATATAGCGACTTTGGTGCACCATTTACATGAAATCGGACGAAGGTATATATGTGAGCTATATAGAAATCAGTACCGATTTTCTCGAAACTTGGCGGACATCACTCTAGGCTCAATTCAGTACGTTATGCCAAATTTCGTGCAAATCGAAGGATATATAGGGACTTTGGTGCACCATTTACATGAAATCGGGCGAAACTATATATGGGAGCTATATCTAAATCTGGACCGATATTCTCGAAACTTGGCAGACATCACTTTAGGCTTAATTCAATACGTTATGCCAAATTTCGTGCAAATCGAAAGATATATAGGGATTTTGGTGCACCATTTACATAAAATCGAAGGAAACTATATATGGGAGCTATATCTAAATTAGGGACGTTGGGGCACCATTTACATGAAATCGGGCGAAACTATATATGGGAGCTATATCTAAATCTGGACCGATTTTCTCGAAACTTGGCAGACATCATTCTAGGCTCAAGTCAGTACGTTATGCCGAATTTCGCGCAAATCGAAAGATATATAGGGATTTTAATGCACCATTTACATAAAATCGAAGGAAACTATATATGGGAGCTATATCTAAATTAGGGACGTTGGGGCACCATTTACATGAAATCGGGCGAAACTATATATGGGAGCTATATCTAAATCTGGACCGATTTTCACGAAACTTGGCAGACATCATTCTAGGCTCAAGTCAGTACGTTATGCCGAATTTCGTGCAAATCGAAAGATATGTAGGGACTTTGGGGCACCATTTACATGAAATCGGACGAAAGTATATATGGGAGCTATATCTAAATCTGTACCGATTTTCTCGAAACTTGGCAGACATAATTTTAGGCTCAAGTCAGTACGAATTTTTGCTGAATTTCGTGCAAATCGAAAGATATATAGGGATTTTGGTGCACCATTTACATATAATCGAAGGAAACTATATATGGGAGCTATATCTAAATTAGGACCGATTTTCTCGAAACTTGGCAGACATCACTCTAGGCTCAATTCAGTACGTTATGCTAAATTTCGTGTAAATCGAAAGATATATAGGGACTTTGGGGCACCATTTACATGAAATCGGACGAAACTATATATGGGAGCTATATCTAAATCTTGACCGATTTTCACGAAACTTGGCAGACATCATTCTAGACCTGAATGATTAGGCTGTACCAAATTTCGCGTAAATCGAAAGATATATAGGGACCGTTTACATTAAATCGGTTAAATATATATGTGGGAGCTATATCTAAATCTGAACCGATTTTTCCCAATTTCAATAGGGTTCGTCCTTGGGCCAAACAAAGGAGCTGTGCCAAATTTCATCCAATTCGGATCATAAATGCGACCTGTACTTTGCTCACAAAAATACATGGACAGACAGACGGACGGACATGCATAAATCGACTTAGAAAGTGATTCTATGCATATTCTCAAAAGGAACCATGTGTCTATCTCGTTTCCTTTTGCCTGTTACAATCATATGCACAAAGACATAATACCCTGTACCACAGTGTGGTGAAGGGTATAAAAATGTTTGATGACTGCACCGATTACACTCACGTTTTCCTTCGGCTGTTTGTAATTGCATTGGGAAGGTTTTTACGAAAAAATATTGAGAAAAACATCAAAAAGTCGGGAAATTGGAATAACCGAACGTTGTGTTTGTTACATCGTTTATAGCAAAATAACGCCTGCAACGATTTTGACGATTCAATGAACTTACATATCGTATGTGGAAAACATTGTTTAGCCTTAGTTATAAGTTTATTTTATCTTTAAACAAATTTTCAAATTGCCGTTATAGATTTGTATATCCGACGTTAATTTTGTCCGATTTTTTTACCCTTAACTGGTAAAATATATATATATATATATATATATATAGAACCTATAAAAAACATATACAAATCAATGTAGATAATCTAGCAACTATATAAAAAATATTTAAAAAATTCAATGAACTTATATCTGAGCGGAATCAATATTCGAGAATTCCCTTCATATGTATGGATGAAATTATATACCACTATACCACGATACAATGTTTGTTATACCAACTTTCAAAAGAACAGTTAGACATGAACAGTATTTTATCATAATTAAGAATACTTCATTAATGGACAAATTAGAAAATGTCAAAATATTGGGATGTATCAAACGTTTTTGGTAGAATAAGTTTAACCGATTAATGTACTGAAATACCACACACATACTCAAATGTATTTTCGATAACTTCCTTATTATTTACCAACCCTATATTGATGCTATTTCGATAAGGCAAAACAACGTTTGCCGGGTCAGCTAGTTTTATATATTATATTTATTAAAATTTTATTTTATTATTTTCATTATTTTTCCGACATTTTTCCTGCTTATGTTCTTGTGTACATTGTTCGCAGTAAGGCGAAAAATTTATAAGACAGCTGCATTATCTGTAAAGAGAAAATAAATACTAGTCTAAACTTAAAGTAAATATTTAAAATGTATATACCTCAGTCATAGTTCCCCGAGAGATGAGCACCAATGTTGTAGCCCTCAGTTGCACGGGTTTTTGGGCACGTTCTGCCATTAATATTAACATTTTCTGATAACGTACATCGGCAATGGACCAATTTTGATTGTAAACGGCATCGGCTACATTTAAACTCTTTGAAGGAAAAGAAAATATTATATAACATTGTTAACAGTTTTCTGAGAAAACATGTTCCGTTGGATATAATAGTCAAAATAAATATATTAAGAAGAAAAATCTTATGGAGTTCGGCCGGCTCTTTTTTACCTTCCAACATAGGGGGCAAAGCCTGTCGGCCCCTTTATATGTAATTGTAAAATGCCTGCCAGGATCTGGGAAAGCCAAATACAAAATTAAAGCAATAAAGTAGGAAGTTTCGTAATGCCAATTTGGTAGAAAAATGCGAATAAAATCTTTAATCTTTATGATCAAGAATGGATTCTAATACAATCATTGCGAGGTGTTGCAAACGGTGTGTTTTATACTATACAAATTTGAACCACTACTTGATGATGTTAATACGAATCTAATGTTTACTAAAAATATTTTTTAGGCCACTGTATTAAATACGAATTTGATGAACATTATTAACTAATTAAAACTTCATGTTTGAAATAAGTACCTATGTATGTGTTGTGGAATAAGTTTGTAATTAAAAGTAGTTTCCATACTACTGGCTTTGTTCGTTAAACATAATTAGTTGCTGAATGTTTTAATTGAACGCATTACAAATTTCTAATAAAACATTTTGGGGTGTCGCCTTAAATACCAAATTGATGTTTTGAAAAATGTTGAAATTCTTAAGAAACATTAATATACCTTGAAAATATTCTTTACTGGCATCTCTAGTGGGGAATTATTAATGACTTTATTATTAAATGTTTCAATTAAAAAAGTTTTATTCGGGTCAACAAAATTATGTTTTTAGAAGAAAGAGAAAAAAATTAAGGAACTATAAAAGGGGAAAGTTAAATCAAATTTGGACGCAATCGAGAATAGTTTACATTCGGAGAATATACCTGAATACCGAGAAGAAACATTTAAGGTTAATTAATAATGGCTAATTGAAACTCTATTATCACTACTTTATTTCGAAGATAGTATGAAGAAGATGTATCCTTCAACATTTCTTCCACCCATATGATATAGCATAAACATCTGGTCATGAAAAAGGTTTGTTATTTTTGAACCCTACACAAAAAAGGCTCATATCGCGGACCAACTTTATGAGAGATGTAAGTACTTTCGTGAGTTATGGCGCACGTCAGCCGGAAAGACGGACGTTTTAATTCCGATACTTAAAACTCTGGATTTGTCCAAAAAAACACATTACATATACGCCGTCATTAGTCAGAGTGCAGCTGCAACAGCTTAATTTTTTACCATAAGAATCATTGAAAATAAGTATGAGGCTACATAAAAACGTTTGGGTTGAATAGTATGTCAGACTAAAAACCGATGGGTCCTAGTTTCGAATCCCAGGTGAGGAAGACACATTCTTTCAAATATATGTAAAAAAGGCTACCCAGAATTCAAAGAGTTGGTGTTTCTAGGCAACGATAGACGATAGCCCCATCTCATAGGGAATAAAAAAATCGGGAAGGGAAGTTCAAAAGTCGGACGGGCCGACTATATGATACCCTTCACCACTTTGAGTAGATTCCACAGATGAATCCTAACAGACGTCGCATTTTTAAAGGACCAGTAAAATGAAATTGGAACCATAAATACGTCATTCTGCAACCGATACTAAATTGTTCATTTGGTCAGATAAAGAAGCTATATCTAAATATGAACCGATTTCAGGAAACTTAACAGACATCTAGACCTAATTTGTTACGCTGTGCCAAATTTCGTGCTTAAATCGACTCAAAAAGTGATTATATGCATATTCTCGAAAGGAACCATGTGTCTATCTCGTTTCCTTTTGCCTGTTAGAAACATATGCACAAAGACATAATACCCTGTACCACAGTGTGGTGAAGGGTATAAAATGAATTTGGTTCAAGAACCTCAAAATACCGAAAATTGGGGGTACCCTTATATGGGGGCTACCAGAAAAAATTGACCAATATTTATAATTTATAGTGGAGAGATTTGATACCTAATAAGAACGCGACGTTCTAAATTACAGTCAATTCGGTCGAAAAATACGATCAGAACCCCCAAAGTACCAAAAATTTGGGGGTACATATGGGGACTACCAGAAAAACCAGACCTATATTTATAATTTTTAGTGGAGTAATTTGGTACCTAATAAGAACCCAACGTACAAAATTTCAGAGAATTCAGTTATAAAACTAGCCCAAGAACCCGAAAATACCGAAAATTGGGGGTACTATTATATGGGGGCTCTCCAAAAAAGTGGACCTTTATTTATAATTTTTTGTAGGGGGATTTGCTACCCAATAAGAACTCAAAGTACCAAATTTCAGCGAATTCGGTCGATCAAAATCACCAAAATACCGAAAATGGGGGGGGGGGGGGTTCTCTTATATGGGGCTATCCGAAAAAATGGACCTTTATTTATAATTTTTGGTAGGGAGATTTGCAAACCAATAAGAACTCAAAGTACCAAATTTCAGCGAATTCAGTTAAAAAAGGCGATCAAGAACCTCAAAATACCGAAAATTGGGGGTACCCTTATATAGGAGCTATGCCTAAACGTGGACCGATTTTCTCCAATTTCAATAGGGTTCGTCCTTGGGCCAATTAAGTGAGCTGTGCCAAAGTTCATCCAAATCGGAGCATAAATGCGACCTGTGCTTTGTTAACAAAAATACATGGACGGACAGACGGACATGCATAAATCGACTCAGAAAGTCATTCTATGCATATTCTCAAAAGGAACCATGGGTCTATCTCGATTATTTTTGCCTGTTACAAACATATGCACAAAGACATAATACCCTGTACCACAGTGTGGTGAAGGGTATAAGGATGATTGCAATGGAATCGGGCGAAACTAAATGTGTGATCTACACAGATATTTGAACCAATTTAAAAAACCATACACATACCATTCTTAAAACTTTAACAGATTGCATGTCAATCGGATTCTTTTGTGTACCATTTGAATAAAATCGAGCAAAGTAATGTATGTTGTGCTATATGTAAATCTGGACCTAATTCAGAAACCATGGATATACCATTTGGTATGCTGCAGCACATTGCTCTGTCCACAATTTTATCTCGTGTATATCGGTGTATCATTTACATAAAATCAGACGAAAATATATATGGAATTAAATATAGTCCGATTTTAACAGAACTTCGCAAACGCATATCCGTACCTATAAGATTTTGTCTCAATCGGTCAAATATTTGGAGTTTGGTGCACCATTTACCAAAAATAGGACGAATCTACATATGGGAGCAATTTGATCCGATTTCCACAAAACTTCGTATACATCAATCTTTTTTAATATGTTTTGCAAAATTTTGTATCAATCGGACAATCCTAGTGAGTTTGTTGCACCATTTAGATAAAACCGGACGAAAATATATATGGGAACTATATCTAAATCGGAACCGATTTCCACAAAACTTTATACACATAAATATGAACGTATTTCGATACGTTGTGCAAAATGTTGTATCAATCGGACAAATATTGGAATTTTGGTGCACTATTTACATAAACTCGTACGAATATATATATGGGAGCTATATCTAAATCTGAACCGATTTTCTCTTATAATAATAGGGTTCGTCCTTGAGCGAAATAACTGAGCTGTGCCAAATTTAATCTAAATTGGATCATAAATGCGATCTGTACTTTGTTTACAATTCAACATGGACAAACAGACGGACGGGCGGATTGACGGAATGCATAAATCGACTCAGAAAGTGATTTTATGCATATTCTCAAAAGGAACCATGGGTCTATCTCATTTCTCTTACAAAGATATGCACAAAGCCATACCAATATAAGAATCATTGAAAGTATGCACGACGCTACTTACAAACATGAGGGTTGGAGCATGTCAGACTAAAAACCTATGGGTCCTGGTTTCATGTCCCTGCGGACGTAGAAACATTCTTTCAAAATGGTTTCTAAATATGTGTAAAAATTGGCTTGCATTTCCCTTCACACCTTACCTAACCCTTTTCGATATTAGAGAATAACACATAATAGGAATGCGGAGAGATAGCGCCACCAATAAGCAGAGGTTTATACAAAATAACCAAGAACATCAACCACTATCCAGAATTCATATAGGTGTTGTTTCTAGGCAACGATAGATGACAGCCTGCAATCACTTTCCTTAGTGATCCCCACACTCCCAAAAGGAGGAGTAGGATTAGGAAATACATTTTAAAAACATGGACCTATATAGAACATTTTCTGCCTATGTGCGGGTACAACCCACATAAGCAGAACCAGAAAAAGGAAATTACAATAATTCAGATGAAAAATTCGTTGAAAAACTTTAAAAGGGACTACGTCAAATATCAACCCATATGGAGAGTTTTCTGCTAAAATGCTTTTAACCCTCAACCTACACCCTACAGTGGAACCTTTATATGATGGAACATGTATAATACATATATTGATAATCTAAAATTCTAAGAAAAAATTTGTCTATGACCTTTAAAATTTCCAAAAAGAGACCGGCCCTTATCATGGCCGGTCTCTTTACCCTACAGTGGAACCTTTATATGATGGAACATGTATAATACATATATTGATAATCTAAAATTTTTGTTATTTGAATTTTTGTGATCATTTGAAAGTGATTTTAAGTGATTATTTATACTCTTTCGAGTCGAGCTTGATGATCTAAATTTTGCAATGAAAAGGAAAGCCAGGAGAAGAACCTACGTACCCACCATTATGCGACGCGTTTCGCCGTTGGTTAAGCGGCTCATCAGGCATATTGGGCTATGTGGCTTTACAAAGGTCGTACGTTGATAACTTGTATTTATTCCGCCCTGATGCGAAACTTGCATATGCGAATTAAATTCAAATTTGTCAAAGTTCGACATTTGTCTTCATTCTAGGAACAGTCCTTTTCAAAGCAGATTTTTGTTGTAGCGATGGATAATTAATCCACACACCTACAATTGCTTCCTGGTATACACATGTTTTTGCGCAACCGTTTTGGAAGTGTTGATGGTTCAGAACGTTAAGCGGTCTTGGCAACATCTGTGTTGCTCTGAGGGACCTAGGTTCGAGCCCTAGCCGTGCTCGTGCATCAGGGCGGAATAAATACAAGTTATCAACGTACGACCTTTGTAAAGCCACATAGCCCAATATGCCTGATGAGCCGCTTAACCAACGGCGAAACGCGTCGCATAATGGTGGGTACGTAGGTTCTTCTCCTGGCTTTCCTTTTCATTGCAAAATTTAGATCATCAAGCTCGACTCGAAAGAGTATAAATAATCACTTAAAATCACTTTCAAATGATCACAAAAATTCAAATAACAAAAATTAATTTCAGCCGAGCACGGCTAGGGCTCGAACCTAGGTCCCTCAGAGCAACACAGATGTTGCCAAGACCGCTTAACGTTCTGAACCATCAACACTTCCAAAACGGTTGCGCAAAAACATGTGTATACCAGGAAGCAATTGTAGGTGTGTGGATTAATTATCCATCGCTACAACAAAAATCTGCTTTGAAAAGGACTGTTCCTAGAATGAAGACAAATGTCGAACTTTGACAAATTTGAATTTAATTCGCATATGCAAGTTTCGCATCAGGGCGGAATAAATACAAGTTATCAACGTACGACCTTTGTAAAGCCACATAGCCCAATATGCCTGATGAGCCGCTTAACCAACGGCGAAACGCGTCGCATAATGGTGGGTACGTAGGTTCTTCTCCTGGCTTTCCTTTTCATTGCAAAATTTAGATCATCAAGCTCGACTCGAAAGAGTATAAATAATCACTTAAAAAAAAAAAAAAAAAAAAAGATAATCTAAAATTCTAAGAAAAAATTTGTCTATGACCTTTAAAATTTCCAAAAAGAGACCGGCCCTTATCATGGGAGCAATGCAAAATCTTGTAGTTTATAATCAGAACTTACCGCATCAATTAACATCTGGCTGTAGTGACAAATCAAATAGACCTGAGCAGTCGATGAGAAAAGGAACAGAAACAATTTGATGAGAGTGTCTGGTTCCACGCCAATCGTCATTTGAAAGCCAACAAAGCAAATGACAAACGAAGAGGCGGAAAAATTCAACAGCAGCGGTAAACTAAAAACGCTGTTCAACTGTTCGCTTAAACTGAAAAATAGGAGAAGAAAAAATAAAACATATCAATAGGTGCAGCAAAAAATACATATAAATAAGTAAATAAAAATCGAAGTAAGTTTGTAAGAATACATGAAAGGAAACTTACTCCAACAAAGTATTATGATACTCAATGATATCCTTTAGAAATTCAATATCCTCTTGCCGAGCCTTATCCACATTCTTGGCATCATTGATTTTCACCTTGTAATTTGTCAAGACATTCGAAATGTAATTGAAATGCATAATAATCTGAGTTGCAAAACCGCACAACATGATATCACTGGCAATTTGGCCCGTTGCCGAAGTGTAACCAGCAAAGACATGTACGAAATACAACAAATAGTAGGACCAATGACCATGCCAATCCCACCAGGTATAGGTGAAATAGGGTAACTGCTGTCCCACCATTCTCGTTCCCAGCCATTTGTCATAGAGCAGATACTGAGTCATGGCATACAGATTATAGGTCCATATCAATATCATATAGAGCAGGGCAAAACTAATTGTGACCCGAGTCGATTGCCGCAAATAACTTGAAAGATTGTAACGCTCCTGGAGTTCCAATTCCCTGGGGTAAATTTCCACAAGACGTTTCACAAATTTACTAAGAATTGGTTTCTTACGAAAAACAAAGAACATTTTCGATTCGCCAACCACAACGAAACCAATGTAGGAGAGACACATTATGGCCTCGAGGATATTTTCACCACGCACAAAAGACACAATGACGAAGGCGATTTCCATAATTAAAACATAATTTAAGTTGAGGGATCCCGAATAGAATATCAAATGGGCAGCAAAGGATTTGGGTTTTTTCTCATCAACTCCTGGCTGGTCGTATGGTTCGATGCCAATGGTGGTGTAGAAAAAACTGGACAGTTTAAAGAAGTCATCAAATGTAGCAGCTCGTTGCATTGTCCTGCTTGCACCTGCACCACGATACTTCGATAGACACAAACTAAATTTGTTTACCAATTGTAAATTTGATTTTTATATCCTCGTAAAGGACTTTCCATTTTTGTTTTGTTGTCTACAACAAAAATACTCTGATAATAGCCATAATTATATGTTTGCTTCTTTGTTTACCATATAGAACGCCTTTTATTATACCTTTGTGCAGGTTTCAAAGAATTTTTTACTTTTTTTTTCATTTATTACGTCCTTTGTAAAATCTAGTTGTTTGTTTTGTCAATGGGCGTGGAATAATCAACCTCTGTCTAGGCATTATTTAACCACAAACACGCATTGATTTTTTCCTCGGAGGTTTGGATAATTGTCTTGGAAGCTAATGTTTATGAGTACTTTAAAATCAGAGCAAGTTTTACGTGCTTATAGAAAGGATACTAAAATGATGGGAAGAATTTTATAGACGGTTGATGAGGAGGTAAGGGGTATTTTTAGACGAACTAAAAACATTTATAGACCAAGGGGCTCTTTTTAGACGATTTTTACAGAATGGGCTGATTTTATAAATGTACTGCATTTTTAGATATACTGGAATGAGGGACAGGACATCTTCCCTTGCCAAACTCATGACCCGCAGACGAGACAAAGCCAGTTCTCACATGACGAAGGAGCTAAAAGTTTTGGAATGTCTGGAATCGTTTTAGAGGACCTGCAGACCTGGGAGAGGAGCTAAAGCGGTGGGATGCGCTAAATTTTCGTAGTCGTTTTTGATGTGCTGAAGACCTGAGAGTCCTTTAAGACGATATGAAGGTCCAGTAGCCTTTTTAGACGAGCTAAGGGCCGGATTATGGTAAGTCCTTATAAAACCTGTAAGGA